AAAAGAATGTGGGCAACCACACTGGCTGCTAGCTTAATCATAAAAAATTAAACAACTTTACTTAAGTATTAAGAATTTCTTATATTATTGCATTTGGCCCACGGCCCTCAGATTGATTTTAATTTTGGCCCTCTCATTGAAAATGTTTGGGCACCTCTGCTTAGACTGTTTAAAAAATATGAAATGGTTTAATATGTAGCCATTCAATTTGTTGTTCTAGAAAGATTCAATGTTTTGTTTTGTTAACTGAAGATTATTATAGTTTGAAATTATACTTGAGAAAAAAAGGGGCAGATATAAGTTTATTTCTCCTCTCTGCCGCCTTTCATTTCATTTTATTTGTATTTTCTTTTTTAATGTACATATAATTTAGTTTTTTAATGGAATGAATAAAATTTGAAATAAAAAATGAGGAATGTTGAGCTGTTTGTGAACATATATTTTAGTATCAGTTTTACAAATAAAAATACCAAGTTTTAACACATCAGCATCAAATTATTATCAGGTGCAGGACTTTGTGCTAACAACTGTGTCTATTTTAAAGAAAAAAACACACAAACTTGGAAGAAATTGAACAAATTCTTTTGTGGAAGAGGAGCTGTCTGGTTGTGGTCAAAGAGGTTTTGTTGTTTCTCAGGAAACAATGAAGATAGTCGTCAAGAGTTTGGATCCAGATTGAGTGAAACTCTGGCGAGCACAGCATCTCTGATGTTGACAGTAGAATAGCAGGGAAACAACACACTGTAGCACATGGATTCATATAATAGACTGAAGCCATATGGCATTGCAATTAATGGCTGACGATATTCTCATAATTTAAAAATAAATTATTTTAGTCTGGCCCTAAGACTCTGTTGTACCAATGGTGACAGCTCAGTTTGAGTTGTTATTAATTATTTTAATCTGAAAGCATGGAGTCTGCGGTGTCTATGCTGCAGAAAATCCCCTGAGAGGATGTGGAGGATTGTGAAAAGTGACGTGGACTGAAGAGGAATTTATTTATTTATATATGATAGAGGCAGAAAGRCATAATCTGAGTCAGGCTGTAGTTTGTTTTAATCTGCTGTAATCCCTGCCCTCTGCTGCCGCACAGAGAATGAATGAAACAGACTAAGAGACAAAATATAGACAAACCCTTGAATAAACAATGTGCAGGAGATATTTTGCTAACAGGGCTAAGTTTTAAACAAAAACCTCGTGCAATGGGAAGCACTTCAGAGTGACTTTCTGATGTTTTGCAGCTGTGGATCATCCCCAGCCTGGTGGGCGGATCTGTGCTCTACTTCCTGTCTGTGGACAAATGGCATCGAGTCGCAGCCGGGCTCTACGGGAGTGGGCTCACCGGCCTCTTCGTCACTTCGACGCTCTTCCACACAGCTGCCTGGAAAATCAGCCATCTACGGTGTGTTTGTATGTTTTTACTTACGCAGCCCTGTTCAGTGACATCATCAACTGTTTTTTTTTCTCCACGATGAACTGCAGATTATGTCAGCCAGAGTTTATATAATGCAGCTAGAGTGAGCTATCCCTTCCACTGTTATCAGCTCACAGCACACAAACAAACCATTTGATTTACAACTGGATCTGTGTCACAAGTTATATAGTAATATTTTTTCACAATAAATTAATATAATTGATAATTAATGTTAATTTCATTTGAGAATCGTTTAAAACAGCAGATGACCTAAGGAAAATATATTGTTATAAATAAATCAAAAGACAATCAATAACTTGGACCAGGGGTTTTCAAATTGTGGGGCACGCCTCCCCTAGGGGGCGCCCGTGGTTTTTGAGGGGGGCGTGACATGAATCAGAAAGTGGGAAAATAATGTAACTTGGTGTATGTTCACACTGCAGGTCTTAGATTAGATATTTCTTAGTGGTATACCATATCATCTTTAAAACGTGACCTCCTTCAGACTTCAGTATGAACCATAGCAGTTCACAGGTGAAAAAACAAAAACAAAAGTTCAGAGGTGACCCGTTGTGCACAAAGGAAGTCATCACACACAGCAGTCTCTGTTTGAGAAAGTAGCCACACATGCTACATTTGTCAGATTGTGTGATTCTGAAGTTCTTGTGTAGTTACAAGTGGATAAATGATCTGACCTGCTTGTTCGGTCCAGCGTTCATTTAATCTTGCCTCTTGATGGATTCTCCGGCACAGTATTTTATTTTTGGGGCGGAGCTTCGAGCTGAAGATAAAACAAACTTAGAATATCGAGTCCAACACGTTCGCATCAACAACGGGCTAACTCTAATTTAGCATCATCTGTTACTGAAAACTTTCAGTTTCAAGCAGCTGGACCGGGGTCTAAAAGAAAACAAGAAAGGGCTTGTTGTGATGTGAGCATACATGTCAAACTGTACGGATTATCTGTAATTTGCGGGGATTTTCTGTCATTTTGCAGGTGTATGGACGTATATAACAATCTCAGATTTTTTCATATTTTATGGATTTTTTCCAAAAACTCAGTTTCAAATTTACGTAAAAACAACAACAACAACAACAACAACAACAACAACACAACAATAAATAACATCAAATAACCAGGCTCCAACCTGCTCTGCTGTTAGAAATAAGTTCCTCTGTCCTCATTTCCTTCTGATTTTGCTGCAACCGACAATCCGCCGGCACCTCCTGCGTCCCACGCTTGATTACAGTTCTTTTTACAATAGTTAACACACTAAAAATGATATCCAAAACACAGTTATTTTAACTGACACACAAAGAGCAGAACCTCCTCTCAAGACTCCAAAAG